TTTGTATATACAATACTTTATCTAATTTAAAGCAAGATCCATATTAAATCGAATATATACAAATTTACTTACTTATATGCATATTAGAGTCTTTTCGTTTTTTCCGGTCAATTCTCTTCAAAAACTAAACGTAGACTGCAAGGAATAGCTGAGTGAATATAAACTACGGTAAAGAACTCCAATCCTATGGAAAGAATGAGCCTACCAAGAATTGACAACAAATATTCAACCAATCGCGAAATGCATGTTCAATTATATATAATCGCACACAGTTAACATAAATTCATTAACATTAAATCTGATATTCAATATTAATAGAAAAATTGCAGATATAAACAAAAAAATAATACTGGTATTGTCAACAAAAATGTTAATCTTCTGCTTTTTTTTGCTATGGTCTTTTTTTCAGTCATTAATAACATCACTGATTATGTAGAAATGTTTAGATAAGAGTTTTTAAAATATATTGATAATTTGATTTTAATTTGAATATTGATGTATTGATTTTTAAAATATAAGTATAGTACAAATTATAGTAATATTCGTTAAAATTTCAATAGAATTGTATCATTTAAATTACAATGATTTAGTCTCATTATTGTTCAACATTTAATATTTTGAATTCATTAGCATAACCTAAACTTTTGATAAAAACAGGAAGTAGATAATATATATATATTTAGTTAGAGCAAACGAGAAAACAGTTGGCAATATCTATGACCATATTTCAAATAAATGCCGCGTAATACGTTATCCATTCAATTATTTAAATTTCTAAAATTTTCATTTTATCTGAATATTTATTTTGATTACTAATAAAAAAAACTCATCCGATTTATATTTTATTTAGACTCATTTTTATCGGGAAATGTTCTAATCTATAAGCATTCTTAAAAAAACAAGATGAAAATATATTATTATAAAAATTAATTTTGCAATATTTCATTATAACATATACAGTATCTTTTTCAATTTTATAAAATATCATATAATGGCTACTTGAAATTTTCTTCTTTCTTTCATATTTTTCTATTTTTTTTATTTATTTTTCATACAATATATTTTATAAAATTCATTTCAAAATATTTATAAATAAATGATTTTTTGATATAAAAATGTAAATATTTTTTTAGAAAATTAAGAATTTTTACAAATTAAAATAAAAAAAATATATGATGATTCAAATTTGACTTTCATATATCTTTTATTTATAATATTTATTTATAAAAAAAATTACATCAAATTATGTTTCCTTAAAATCACTTAATTTTTATTTAAAACATTTTTCACTACATCATATAATCATTACATAATCATTATTTACAAAGTTCATAATCAAAATAATTTTATATAATTCTATATAATTATCTATTTTATATAATTCTATATAATTCTATATAAATATATCATTTAAATTGATTTATTAAAAATAAATAAAAAATCATTAAATAAAAAACTATTATTATTAATTAAATTATATTAAAAAGTTTATTAATTAATTTCAATTTTGTAAATTTATAAAAAAAATAAAGAAAATGTAAACAAACAAATATCACTTCGCATTTTTGTTAAATTCTATAAAATTAAAGTTAGAATATCTCCTAAACTATAATAGTTTTTTGTTATAAATGATTTAATAATTTTTTATTATTTAATTACTTATTATTTTTTTTATATAATAAATTATATTCATAAAATGTATTTATAAAAATATAATTTTATTAAAAAATAAAATTGATCTTTAATAATTTTTGATTTAGAAAAATATTCTTTATATCATATGATATATATGTATATATGAAATTTCTTTATTAAAATTTGCAACAACATAATAAAATTTTTGATATTATCGAAATTATGAGAAACAATAAAATAAATATTACATTAAAAATTATGTAAGAATATAATTTATTAATATAAGGTATTGAAAGTAGATGAATTTAAAATTAGAAAATATGAAGTTAAAAAATGGAATAGAATTTTATATGTATATTACACGTAGCTGTTAAAGGAGAAAAATTAAATATTTATAAAAAATAATATGTATATATTTTTTAAATTTATTGATAAAAAAATATATAATATTAATTTGTTGCAATTTAGAATTATTCATATCTTGTTTTAAAATTTAAAAATTAATTATATTTTAGGCAAAGGTAATATTTAACATAAATAAGTCATTATATGCAATCTGGACAATTTATTTATACATTATTTATATTATATATTATATTATATCTATATTTATCTATATATATATATATATATATATATATATTTAAGTAATTCTGAATAGATATGAATATAATATCTGATATTTATATATTCCTTCTACTAATAAATATATATAAATTATTTTTTCTTTTTCGTTTTTATTATAAGTTTGATTAAATGAAATTATAAAAAAAGAAAATATTTTCTTATTATATTTTGATTAATTCAATCTCAATTTAGATTATTATGAAGCATAATGATCTAACAATAATAATAATAATAATAATTAAAATAAATATTATATATAAATATTATGCTATAATAATAAATTATTTTTTTTCATATATTTATCATTATAGCATATTGTTTCTTGATAAAAAAAAACATTATAAAAAAATAATCAAACAAAAGTAATATATTAATTACGTACAGAAAATATTAATGAAAAAATGATTCTAATTTTTAATTTTAATTTTTCTTTATTATTTTTCATTACAAAAATATTATATATTTTTTTTTTTTTAATGATTATATAACAGAATAGTTCATATTATCATAAATCACATTATGATAATTATAATCACATCTGGTGATATTAATTAATTGATATCAAAATTATAAAAAAACATAATAATCTTCAAATGACATTATATATAGATGAATGTTAAAATATATTCCATAAATTAAATGAAATCACAAAAATTAATCTGATAATCAAAATAAATATAATCAAATAAATATGAGAATCATAAAAGAAATATTTTTTTTATAATTTAGAAATGTATAAAATAAATAAATAAAATATATAGAAAATATAATACTAAGAAATAATTAATATTGAAGTAATTTCATAAGACATCTTATTATTATTACAATACAAATATATAATAATGAATTAATATATTTTGGTATAATTTTATAATTATAAATTTAATTATAAATTTAAAATATATTATATATATAAATATATATTATATATTATATATATAAATTATAAATTTTTTAATTATAAATTTAAAATATAATTTATAATACAATTTATAATAATTAAAATAAATTTATAAATACTAATATTATATAATTTATAATATATTTTTATTATATATTCTTATTCTTTAATAATATTCAGATTATAAAATTAACATTTTATAAATAAATTTTATAATAAATTAACATTTTATAACAATTTTATAAATAAATTTTAGTTAACACTAGTCATATATATATCACGAAAAAATATCACAAATATATTAGCAATTAGAACATTTATTTAAATAAATCAGATAGATAATTAATTAAGATAAAATTAAGATAAATATATATTTATATATTTAACATTATAAAAAAATATAATTTATGTAGAAATTTTTACTATTTGAAAATAATATATATTTATAAAAATTATCTTATATCGTAAGATATTTTACATAAAAAAAATATTTCGAAAAAATTACCTGATAAATTATAGTTGTTGAGATAAATATAGTTACTTTTAAGCTTCCAGGATTAATTAAAAATTGTTAGAAAACTACACCCATATATTATAAACCAATGTATATTGATAAGATTATTTGTAAAATTAATATGTTATCTCACTAATTGATTTTTGTCTAACCATATTATATACACAAAAAATATATAAAAAAGAAATTCCCTACATCTTTAATTTTTTTATAGAATTTTTTTTTTTTTAATTTTATTTATGATAAATGAAAAAAATAAAAAATAATTGATTATATAGCTATATTTATGTACAATATGTACAATATGTACATAAATATTATATTATTAATATAAAATTTCTTAAGATATTAGCAAATATAAATAATGATAATAATAAATATATTTTTATATGTAATACCGTTTTTTTCTATTTTGTAAGTTTTAATATTTGTGAAAATAAATACTCAAATTCATTAAAAAAAAAAGTATTGTTACTGAACTATGATATTCAGAAAAATATAAGAAGCCTCTTTATTTATGATAATTGGAATTTATTTTCTGGTTAAAAAATTTAGTAAAGATTGTATATTTATTTTCGTAATGATTTCACGAAAAAATAGGTTTTCCATAGGATTAAAATTAAATATTCATTTTTGAAATAAAGATCCTAAAGAGGTTAAAACATCAATAAATATTACGAAATCTTAAAAAGATTTGATACAAGATATATGAATATTATGAATTTTGATATTAAATTTGATTTGAGATTTTAACATTTTCTCATTAATAATTATATCTATAATAATTAATTTTATAATTATTCAATATCAATAATATCATTTTTAGACAAAATATGTTATATATTTTTATTTTATGTTCGTTTTGCAGCATAAATTGGTTACACAAAAACAATCTGATTGGTTGATTCCAATAAATCTGACTTTTAGTACGTATATTAACTGAAAATGTCATATTAATCATTTTTTATTTTTAATGATAGATAAAACATTAAGATAAGTTTTAATAATACTAATATCTAAGTTTTAATAAGTATTTTCATACATGTCAATGATAATAATAAAAATTCAATCAAAAATTCATTTATTTTTTAATTCTAATAAAACAAAATTTAATAATTTTTTTATATTATTATATTATATTTTGAATAATTTTTCTTTAAATTTATAAAATATTTTTTATTAATTTCAATGAAAAATATTTTTAAGATATTTTTATGTTTTTTAAAAATAATCAGTATAAATACACATCTAATTTTATTTCAATTTATCAGCATATAAGCATATTATACAAGATTAATATAATATAATAAAAACAAATTGTTTTTATGCCTTTTCGAAATATTCACGATGAATATCTATACCGCGAAATGCTCTATTCTTGTCGCAACATTTTTCATGACCGGGATGTTTTTGACAAAGATCACAACCACACACTGGTTCGCGTGGTACTTGCGGACCGCATTTAGGTGGACAAGGAGGTGGTGGCTTTGGTTTTTCTTCACAACAACATGCTCTACAAGGATCCTATAATTTTTTTTATAAATTTCATGTTTTTACATTCAAAAATTTTAATCTAAAAATTAATAAATGAAAAAAAAATGATTTAAAAAATATAATACAAAAACGAAAAATGATTGATCACACAAAGATGATTGATATAAAACTAAATAAAATTATTAAAAATACCTGCATTTTAATATAACAACAAGATTTAATTGGAGAACAGAAATCAGTAGGACTTTTATATTCGAATTTCTTTGTGGAATCAAATTTTTTATCTTCGTCGGACGGTTTTAAATCATTTTTGGGTTCTTCTTCGATTTTTTTCTTTTTCATATAAGGAGGACATGCAGATTTCTTTTGTGAAGAAATCCAAATAATTCCAGTATTTACTAATTAAATAATAAATTATCTAAGAAAAAAACTAATTTATAAAAATTCTAAAGAATTTACATTAAAAATATAAATTACTTACGAACTTTATTCCATACACTTTTGCATGAATTTTCATCAGTCATAATTTTTTATTTTTAAACTAATATTGTTTTCAAAATATTTTATTATTTTCGAAGTAATTATTTTAATACTTTATAAATTTTAATAATTTATTTTTTAATGGACAACCAAAATTAGGAATTATTTCATGATTGATATAAAAGAATTTATTCGATCTTCAATCTTTTCTTGATGTTTTCTTGTGAATGAATTTTTTAAATACTTGATATTTATCTTTTTATTTCTTAAATATTTTAAATATTTTAAATAACTAAATGTCAAAACAACACATTTTTTATAAATTACAATAATTTAAATATTTAAATTTTAATTAGTTAATAATTTGGAAACATATATTGTACAATATATTATTGATATAAATATAATACAGAGGTCAGGAGAGTATTTCCTCTATTCCTTCTATTGTTCACAGATACGCGATTCTTTATGATTTTTATGATGTAACATTTTTGGCCCATTTTCATGAATATGTTAAATTTGTGGAAATCAACCAATCAAATTTAGATTCTTTTCATTTGTCAGCTTACGAAATTAGTTATAAATTCATTTTATAATTTATTATTATATTTATTATAGTTGTAAGTTCATTTTATGATTTATTTTATAATTTTAAATTTAATATTATTTTTTATTAACATCGTTGTAATTATTACTAAATGTTGATGTATATTAAAATTATATATATATATAATTTTTATAGTAAAATTTAATTATTTTAAATTAAGAATAGAAAAGAATTAAAAAAAAAAAATTAATTTTTTTATTATTTTTTCATAATATAAACAGAAAATATTAAAATATGTAGAATAACTATATAACTATAAAACCAATGTTCTATTTTGATTAAATTTATTTTGTTTTTTGATTATGTAATTAATTTTAATTCGAAATAAGTTTCAATCAATTTTATCATAGGAAATATAATATTTCAAAGTATTATACATAAAACAAATGTAATTATAATATTGTAATTTTGACATAATTACAATTATGTATTTTTAATGTAATATTTTTAATTTTTAATCTATTACTGTGTATAAATTTAATATTTATAAAAAGAAATGGGTGATTATACTGTATCATTAGATCCTGAAACAGAAATGTTTTGTACATTATATTTATTTGAGAATGTCCAAAATTCTAATGAAATACGTAGGAAAGTTATGAATAATGAACTTTCTTGCGCTGTTATAAAAGCATCACTTATAGTAGATCCTTTCCAAATAATAATAGCTGCTAATAAAACTGCAATTAGTGCAAGGATGAATCAGATTACTACAAAAAATATATATACTGAAGTATTATTTAATTTATCAACTTCAAAAAATATATCACGTACATTAATAGAATTTGGAATCAGTGATAATGATAAAAATATACTAATAATGTTAATATGCAAAGAAAATGATAAAAAATTAATGTCAAAAACAATAATGGATGTTGTAAAAGGAGAAAAGATATCAATTTCAAGATTATCTGAGTTTACAGACTTTGATTTAATAAAGAAAATATATAAAATTGAAGAAGATGAATTAAATGTTTCTAATTTTATTGATTCTATTGTTTCTAGAATTAGTTGTAAAGATTTTATGTCATTGAAATGAAAATAAAATTTTTAATGCTGTAATAAATATGAAAAATATTATAATTAATGTATCAATTTCTTTTTTAAATAAATATTTTAAATGTATCAATTGTATAATATGAATAATATTTTAAATAAATAGTATAATTATGTGATTTATTTATTAAAAGATAAATTTTATTAATTTATATTTACTCTTTTTTTCATGTTTATTTTTATAAATTTTATAGCAACTTAAACACTATAATAATAAATTTTCTTTAAATATTTGATATTGAATTTTAAATTTTTAGTATATAAATATTACAATCATAATGATTCACAATATAATTAATTAATTGTAATCAAATATGATAATAATATGAAAAAAAATAGTTATATTTTGCAAGTTATACACTACTTATAATTGTACATATAAAGGATTATTATAAAAAGGATAATTGAAAAGTAGGTTTTGGTAAAAGATATTTTTTCTTTTTTTTATTCACTCATAAATAAAGCCAAGTATGCGTTCAAAACAATTTATATCCGCAAGAACAAAATTTGTTAAAACCTGCGGAAGCAAAATTGCAATTTAAGGATAGCACCCTTAAATGCATACAAAAGCAATATAATAATGAATTTTTGTTACGTATTTCTTGGTAAACCACACATTTCACACATTGCAAAATCTGCTGCATTGAGAAAAGTGCAATGTGAACAAGTCCAAAGTGTTTGATCAGGTGGTGAATTTACAATTGGATCTGTACCAACTGCTATTCCACTTCCTTCTACAAGCACAGAAGATGAAATTCTTGAGTTAGTATCAAATAATGGTCGAGATGTTGACGCTGTAGCTTCAGATATTAGTTGCTCTATTGTTGCCCATTGTTCCAAATGTGTCCACTCTATTGCTTTTTCTCTATTTTTATTACGAATTGCATCTAATAGTGGTATCATGTGGTCCTAAAATAAACATGTATATTTTATTTTATAACAAAAGATTTTTAAATAAAAAAATTATAAATAAATATTTAATAAAAAATAACCTTCATTGGAAACATATCCATAGTTGCAATAAAAATTAATAAATGAAAATCTGAAACTGCTTCTAAGAATTGTCCTTTAGTAAATTGTTGCATATAAGAACAAAGTGAACTAAATTCCTGAATTTGTCCATCAATGAATCTATAATTTAATAAAATTAATATTAGCAAAATAATATGATATTTCATTGTTTATTTTTACATACCTATTTTCAATTGGAAACGGAGTAATAGTATTGCTAATATAAAAAGTAAACTGTGGAGTAAGTGGTGTGGATGCAGGTACATCTACCAATAAATATTCTACTGGCAAAGGTCTTGCTAGCCTTGACACTTCATTTCCATAAGAATCTTTTTCCTAGTAATAACAAAAAAAAAAAAAGATGAAATACAAATAATAACTTTTTACTATAAAATTTCGATTTATATTTTTTATGATCTATGTATATCTATGTCTTATTAATATTTTAAATTAAAATTTGTTTTGAAACATTAAAAGTTATGGATTTTTTTACAATACTTGATAAATAATGTTGCGTAGAAATTGTTTTGAATTTAAAAATTTGCAATTACGATATTTTTTAAAAAATATTAAATATTTTTATGAACCACAAATAATATATATAAAAATGTATAAAAGTAATTATAATTATGATATCGATTAAAGTTAAAAAATAAAAATAACATCATAAAAATGAAATATAAAACTGATTGTAGATTTCAGGTTAAATTAAATAATTCTAGATTAGATTATAAATAATTTTTAAATATAAGTTAAATTATGATTAAATTTGAATTTTTTTTATAACTCAAAATTTTTCTTATTGAATTTTGAAATATTTTTTATGATCTATGTATATCTATGTCTTATTAATATTTTAAATTAAAATTTGTTTTGAAACATTAAAAGTTATGGATTTTTTTACAATACTTGATAAATAATTGAACATTAGGAAATAGAGGAATCGGTAAAAAAAAATATTTGATTTTCTAAAATAGAAATTAATTATATCTTTTATTTACAATTTGCATAAATAAAAAAAATTAAAATAAAATCTATTAAAAATGTTTTTAAAACACGTTTTAACAAATGTGTTGAAATATTTTTAATAAATGTTTAATAACACAAAAATATACACAATTTTATTAGTTGATTCAAGCAAATACATAACGATATTTATAAGATGAAGTATGAAGGCAGGTCCATAATATTCGTATTCAGCGTTCGAGAAATGCGCGCGCAATCGTAGAAGCCGCAGACGACACCGGTACTGTTTGCCACGAGTCGAACGAAAGTGTACAAGAAAAAGGAAAGAGAAAGACAGAAGAAGAGAACGAGAAAGAGAGAGAAGGAGAAAGCTTTAGGATTGCCGAGAGGGGATAACATACGGAAAGAGGAGAGAAAAGCAACAGCGTAAGCGACTAGCGCGCGCTGTGGTGTGTGTCGTCGGTCGGTCGGTCGGTCGTCGCCGCCATGCTAGTGGTTAGTTTAGTGAACCAAACATCATGATGTGGCAAAACGTTCGCACGAGCTAAGACTGAAGTAACGCCGCGTTACCGGCGCGCCGTCGTTATGTTATCCATAATAACTCACGACATTCGATAAGCGTAAACACGTAACGTGAAAAGTACAAAGCTTGATAAAAACTCCACGGCGACTGCGGCAACGAAAAACGTCGGAGTGCTCGATTCCTGCGTGCGGAACCGCACAATACTACGTCAGTCCCGATGTAAATTAAAGTCAAATCATATATTCGAACGAACATTACAGAATTATCATTGTCACGGTACACGTTAGGAGTGACGAGTGCCAACGATCAGCCTCCATCGCGCGGCAAGGAGACGATCACGAATCGTATACACGGTACGGAACATTTACGCTCCTATCCAACGAAAGAAAGAGCAAGAGAGAGTATGTATACATGTGTGTGTGTGCGCGCGCTTGCATGCATGATAAGGAAAATATACATATGTCGTGTATGTATTTTTTGGGTGATGTGTGCGCGTGCGTGTGTGTATGCTATTGTGAGTACAAGAAAAGAAATGAGTGTGTATGCATATGTATATGAATAAGATGAAAAGAGAGAGTGAAAGAAGAGTAAGATTGACAAACGAGAGTGAAAATGAAAGGTAGAAAAAAAAACAAGCATGTATGTACAAACATTGTGATGATATGAGCAAGAACAAATTACAATATTCCCGCAGAATTTGCCTAACACCAGTAGTTTGTAAGTCATTTTTACTTAAATGTGGACTTGTCACACGTAGTGACAACGTAATATCGCAGAGAACTTGGCGATAAGCTGCAAGAATCCATATATCATATGGCCGAAGGTTTTATCGGTTATCCGTATTGATATTTAAAATATTTTACAAAATGAAAAAAAGTAAAAAATTACATTACTATTTTTATTAACTTCTTTTAAAAATATTTTTTCATTAACGAATGGTAAATTCCAAAACTTCGACTATTCCTTTACATTTTGGCGGGATTTTGCACGCATGCGCGTTCTCTTATGAAATGTCATTTTTTACGTTTTAGTAGTCAAATTGTTGCATAATAACTTTGCTGTTATAGTCAATGTGTCAGATAAGAAGCTAACCTTTTGAGAATAAGTTCGAGCTTAAAGACAAGACTATGAAATAACACGATTGAATTTATGTGGCGCATTTTATAACATATAAAAGAAAGAAATAATAAAAAAAAAGAAATATATAAGAATATATAAGAAATAGATCTAATTATACTGATTTAACATTTAATTTTTTTTCTATTTATTTTATATTTATGTTATATCATTAAAAAAAATTTTATTATCTACATATTTAGTTTAAAAAAAAAATTTTTAGATTTATTTATGCGATAAATCGAATTGTATCAAATAATCAGATTAATATGTTAGAAACAAAAGTACATATGTACATATGTATTAATAATGAAATAAATATCTATGAAATTTATATTGTTTGAATAATATAATATAATATAATATGAAATATGCATTAATTAATCAAAAATTTATTTCAATAAGTTAAAATTATATTTTTCTTTTTTTTTTATAAAAATAATAAGTTATATTATTTACGACAAAAGAAAGAATAAAGAAGAAAGAAAAAGATAAAAAGAAAACAATATAAGAGTGAAACGTTAAACCGATTGTTATTAGGAATAGGTACATTAAATATGACCTTTATGTTATTTTTCTAAATAATATAGTACAATGAAACACATATACGTATACAAACATTTCTCAAACATGTATTCTCATTTTACTCATTATTTCTAAATTAAAATAATTGCGTTATATAAAATAGTACGGATAATTTTTAGATATTTTTACGAATATTATAATATGAAAATGTAAGATTATTAAGTATAACTATAAAGAATAAAATTTATGAAGAATAATTAATAAATAACATTTTATTATATTTCAGATGCTGGATCCAAGTGTTTTAACAGATTTAGAGGAACTGACGCTTTGCAGTTATTGCAAGCAGAAGTATAATGATACAGAACAATGTCCAAAATATCTTAGTTGCAAGCATTATTTTTGTTTGCGTTGCATAGAAAACAATTTATTAAAAGGACGTGAGTTGTTTTGTGCGCATTGTTGGAAGAGGACGGATCTAGGTGATCAAGGACCGGACGCTCTACCGACACACTCTTCTCTCCTTGCTCTAACAAATAATTTGTCTCACTTAAAAATCACCACAAACAATACATCTGGAAAAACGAATGATAAGGAGAGAAAGGTACATGACAATGTGAACATATTTTTTTATAAAGATTTCAAGTTCGTCAACCGATTATTCGTATTCACCAGTTTATATACAAATGGTAAAGAAAGTATATAGTTCTGAAGCCATATCAAACTTCTAATAGTAATAAGATTAAGTTATAAGGTCTGCAATAATTTACTTTTAACATACAAAAGTATAATTTTTATATTTAAAATTTGATAAATTTTTGATAAATTTTTTAAACAGAAAATAAAAATTTATGCAGATATTACATATATATTTTTATTATATAAATATTACATATAAAATATAAAAAGGAAGAAATAAAATTTATAGTTATAATATTTTACAGAGTGAAAATTGTCACACGCACGGAATGCCTTTGGCATTATGGTGTGCGACATGTTGCTCAGCACTTTGTAGAGCATGCGCTACTCCACAAGAACATCCAGGTCACCAGATTAAATCACAAACTGATGCCAAAGAACAACTCATATCCGATGTAAGTTTTATAATTAATTTTATTTGATATATTTGTTTTCTATTTTATATATATATATATATATATATATATAGAATAAAAAATATTTTGATATTCTGATTTTGAATCAGAGAATGCATGGTTAATATTTTCCTAGGTTCAGTTGGAATTAGTTGCTATGGGAAAGCTATCGACCGAGATTCAAAGACTGGCTATGCAACAACGTGAATTCTTAATAAAAGTCTTAGAAGCTTGTGTAACATTAAAAACGCATGTTGAAACAGATCTTCAGAATGGCTGGAGTCATTTTCCTGAGATAACAGATGCACGAGAAACTCTTGGAAAAGCGAAAGCTAGTCTGCAGATGATCGATAGTCCTAGCGATGTATACAATTTGCATTCACAACTCATAATAGAGAAACAAAGATTGCAATCGAAATATCAAGAAATGATGTTGCAGTGCCAACTCGATGATTTAATTGGTAACTCGGGGGTGGTATTTGATTTTACATTATTGAAACAAGCATTAGCTGGAATTCATACGGGAGAACCGATTATTTCTCAAGGAACGAGTAATGGTGGTAGATTACCAAATCATTTGGCGGCTTCACAAAATCCAATACTGTTCCTCGCAAATTATTGTATGTCGCAGCTATATTCAAGACATGTAGTGAGTAAGCAACATATGCAAAACGGTTCTATAGAATATCATTCAAGTATGATGCAACCGCAACCAGCTCCACCGGGTTCTGTTCATGTACATCAAGGTCCACCGCCGCCCGCAACCCCGCAGCAACTTCTCATTCCACCTGGTTCGCCGTCCGTTAAACCTATTCCGCCCGCGCCTCCGAACGCAATGTTACATCCACAACAACAATCAACGTTTATACCAGAAGGAGTTGGTAGTGGTGGCGGAAGTTTAGTAACCGTCCACTCATCCTCTCAACCGCCGTCCAGCGGAATAGCAGCATCACTTCGAGGACCTTCGAACCCTTATCCTCTGTATTATTTCAACATTGAAGTAAATGGATCTCCACACGGTCGTATCGTAATAGAAGTGAGGCCAGATGCAGCGCCGAAAATGGCAAAAAATTTTAGTGTACTGGCGACAGGTGAAGTTGGAGTCGGCTATAAAGGTTGCACGATTTTTCAGTGCTGGGAGGGTGAATCCGTAATTACTGGTGATTTTGAATTAAACAATGGTCGCGGAGGAAGAAGCATATTCGAGGATGGATACTTTATGCCGGACGACACAAAATTTCCTGCAGTAAGAGGAGCAGTCGGAATGCGGAGAACACAAAAGCGACATGATAATCTTGGTATGGTGGGTTCACAATTTCGTATAATATTACAAGAAATGCGCGGGTTCACAGGAATCTTTGGTCATGTCGTTGAAGGATTAGAATTAGTCGAAAAGATATCTACATTTGGTGATCAAACGGGCAAGCCTACGAAGAATATTCTAATTACGAAATGCGGTAAACTGTAACGATAACACTATTGCGATTAGTATACACCGAAGGTAATCAAGTATTACCCGTATACTTTGCGTTTCCCCGCTCTAGATAACTTAAAAAAAAAAAAAAAAAAAAAAAAAAAAAAAAAAAAAAAAAAAAAAAAAAAAAAAAAGAAGGATTCACGAGTTCGCGACGGTATCTCTGAAGTGTTCGATATAGGGAATGGGGTGTTCAAATAAACAAAAAATTATATATATATAATATCCGATGATAAATGATATTACATGTAGAGACACCGTCGTGATCCCATAGCTCCATGAATCACGATGCTCCGTATGAGTCACACAATTTAATTAACTATTAACAATAGAATTCTAAAGATATTGAATCTATTTTTAAAAGTGGACGCATAAGAGAAGAAAGAAGAAATAAAGATCCATATTTTGCTATTGATTGAGAATCAATAAGATTCTGTATCTACAATAACGACGATGATCGATAATACGTACCTCAAGATCGATCGTGATATCGATACGACTTCTAGCTGTACGACATTTGTTTTAGAAGAAGTTCGACGTTTATTTTGGCTATTGGCATATTGCTATGTATAGTTGATATAGAGGGTATCGCACGGGATTAAAAAGTGCCGTGGTTAACGGCGTCGCCCTGTGGGCGTTGCTAATATTTTAGATCATAGGTAGTAAAAACAAAAAGAAAAAAAAAAACGTGTAGATGAGAAATACGTACGAAAAATGGGGCAAACTTGTATGTGTATACACATACATTCATATATTTGTAAAAAAAAAAAAAAAAAAAAAAAAAAAAAAAAAAAAAAAAAAAAAAAAAAAAAAACAGACAAACGTACAGGCGAAAACTTTTTTTTGTTTTATAATCGAAAAAACATGACTTCGTAAAAGTCAAAAAGTCGTGATTCCATATACGCAGGTCGTTTAGAACATTAACTGAACGATACGTCGGTACGTAAAAGGGCCAATTTTATTTCGTCTGGTCAACGATCACGTATCGTTCTGTTTCTTTTTCCAGAGGAGAGAAAAGGAGCTAAAAGGGAATAAGTAATTATGCGATGAAACGAGTCAAGGAAAATTGCGGTTCCTATCGGATGACTCAAAGATACTCCTCCCTTTTTGCTCTTTGCCATGGTCTAGTAGACCGTCGTAAATTAACTGTATTTAAGATTAGATCTCAACATGAAAATGTATGCAAGGCCTAACTACTACTATGTAGATTGTAAGCCTCGTCGTCTGATCAGAAAAAAACGAACGAAATGAGCGAATGTATATTATAAACGAATCATTCCTCGATGCTGTATATCGAAGTACTACGATAATGTAATGCGTTATACTACTCGTCTGAATCCTCGTAAAAATCCCATCGTTATGTATCATATTATCATGTACCCGTGTGCGAAAAAAAGCGTCATAAAAAAAGTGTTCTGTAAACCGGCGCGTAAAAACAAAAAGCGCACTCACGTATTGTAGGAAATTGCACGCCCTCGTCGTCGCGAATGCCTTTTTTCGAAGAAAGCCTCATTCGATGTTGAACTTGAAAGTTTTAACACTTGTTAATTAGCTAATTCATCGTTTGCAATATCATAAAGAAAGAAAAACTCATTGCATTACGATGAATGTAAGAATCGCCGTTAGAATTAAATGATAATGCGTAATACGTACGACGATCGAAGGGTGATCGAGCTCGAATGAATTTCTCTTGTTTCGGTCGTTGTAAAAAGAAAAAAAAAACGAAAGACGTCAGTCGACATTTTTGAATCTAGGTGCGTATAAATTCATGTTTACCGAAGCGAGTGAAGCTAGAAGCCCACCTGTATACACAAAATATCCACGCGCGCGCGTGTATATATGTACATATATATATCTATATATACTATATATATATATATATATGTATAAATGTATATGTATATATATATACACACTACATATATTTTTATGAACGTGATGAGGTAACAACGCATAGCTTGTAATATCAATTCTAACAACCGATTTACTTTGCCCCTCGCGTTCGAATTAAACGGTTGAGCGGCTATAATTTTTCGATAAGTTTTTCTTTCCACCTTTTATTTTTTTTCATTCTCTCTCCTGTTTCCTTTTCTTTTTCTATTTCTCATTCACCCTTTTTAAGTTAAGGCGTAATCATCATTACATACGAAAATTGAGGTCATTTTGTTTACAGCCTACGGAAACGCATATCCGTAGTGTACATGCTTAAACAGTTTTATTATTTCATTATACATATACGAAGTTCGTTGCCCAATTTAAATGTACTTTTAATCAATCAATTTTGAGTTATAAACTGTTTCTCTTTCATTCGTGTATTTTATGCATACCTTTATCTTCCTTAATATTATTAGCATATAAGATATAATTTAATGACATATTTTCATCATAACATATACATTCATGATCAATTTTAAAACTAATATTATCATCTTAATTTAAAGCAGAAAATTAATCAAAAAAGATCAAATAAACCTCATGTACTCACCTTGTAGAAGACATCTGGAACATACTGTTTATCTGTTGATTCAATTACATAGCCCAATTCTGGCGCATCTTTTGTAGGAACCAAGCAGCCATCACGTACTAATGCCATGCATTGATTAGATACTTGATAACCTTCCATGTGAATTTGATTTTTCTCATCACCTATAATCAATATATATAATTTAGTAAATATAAATAATTCTTTTTTTATATTCTTTATATTTAATACTTTAATGCAAAATGATTTGATTATGATATAAATAACTTACCAGTAACACAAACAGTAACAAACTTTGAACCAAAATAATTATTAGGAGAAAAACGACAAGGATTTGGATATTTATTTTGAAAATACCCAGCCATAATACATTCTTGAGCAGATAAAAAATGACTTTCTATATTTCGAACGTGTTTTACCTAAGTAAATTAAATTAATTCTATTAATTAGGAATTTTAAATTATGAAAAATAAAATAAAATTATAAATAAATTTACCGTTCCTATCTTGATATCATCAGCTATAAGATCAGTAAAAATCCATCCAATTTTTTTTAAATTAAGTAAATGAGCCAATTCATCAACTATTGTTTCCTTTTCATCTGGTAAAAGTCGTATAGAATTTTTTGTACTTTCCTAAAATATAATTAAATATATAACTATATCACTTATAGATGATGCATACTTAAGATACTTAAATTAAAAGTTGATTTAAAGATTTAGATTAAAAGAATATTTATAGATATGATTATTATTATTTATTTTAATTAAATAATCACCTGTGGGGGCTCATAAATAGCTGTAACAACAGCTCTAATTCCTAATGGTACATCTGTATGTATTTCATATCTTCCATATAAAAATCCAATACGTTGATGACCTGTGCTACGCCAATAATTGAGAAAACGCTCAACTAAACTTGAATTTTCAAACATAACGTTGTCGACATGACGATAAGTTTGGCGATTTAGAGTAATAGAACTTGGTTGACATTTGCTACATATACCTCGTGGCCAAGGTGGATGATCTTTACAACCAGTCTTTATACGGCAGTTTATGTCATCTAATTGTATAAACTTCCCTCTATAAAATATGTAAAGTGTTATTCTTTATATATTTTACATATAATGCAATATGAACATACCTATCAACACCAGCAGTGAGTTTCCTAAGATATGAATGAAATGATAAATGTTTTATATTTTGTTCTTTAAGATAAGCTTCATCAAAAGGTTCTAAAGGAGTACAATGAACACAGCATCCATTTGCACCATGTCTACAACTATTAAACAAATTATAATATATATAATCTAATCTTATATAAAAAAATTTATTCATATACAGAATGTTAATATATTTGTGATATTTTTAAAGAGTTAATAAAGATTAAAATAAATACAAAAATTAGTATATAGTATATTATATTATATATAATATATTATACTATATATATAGTATAGTATATTAGTATATATATAATATTGCTTGACATTTATTTATCAAACTATAAACAATTTGCTTTGAACAAAGTGAGATGAATATAATCATGAAACGAAAATAAAATAGTTTCATTCTATCTTCATCTTACTTTATCTAATATATATTATATATATTATATATAATATAAATTTATAATTTAACAAATAATTTAACAACATTTTTCTGTATTTACTTTTTTACTTTATGTTTTAAAGAATTTTCTAAAATTATGCCATGAATATATTAACATTCTATATATTCATTCATATTATATTCACTTACAGTTTTTCATCACGTTTTCTTTGTATTTTACCATCAAGTTTCCATAATTGTTCATCAACATCCTCAATTGTATTTGATACAGATTGAGAAACATTAGTATGATTAATAGTTTCTATTTCATCCATTGGTCTTGGTTCTAATATTGAGTCAAATTTAACTTTTTAAAATATTAAATTAAAATAAAAAGAAAAAATGAAATAATAAAATTTAATTAAAACCTTGAGAAATATCAATAGTGGCAGTACTAGTTGAGGGAGTACTCCACAATTGTGTATTATTTTGAGGAGCAAGATATAACATATCTCCATGAGAAAGACATGTTCCTGAAACTGTTTTGCTGTGAGAATATGGAAGTTCATCTTTATGATTTCGTTCTCTATAGAGTACAAATCCAGTAGTATTCAATTCAAAGGCTTTAGAGATCTACAATTTTCAAAAGTTAATATTTATATAATTATAAGTTATTATGTCATATTATATAATATACAAACCTTTTCATATACTAGAGAAATTGTATCAGAAAAATTTACATCTATACGTTTTGTCCCTTCTGAACATTGCACACGTAAAGTCTATAAAAAAACAAATATTCATAATTTCAAAAGAAGTCTAAATATTAAAATATAATTGAATATTAAAAATATTATTTTTTACATTCATATTACCATCACAATATTTGTATATTGTGATTTGTATATTAATATATATATTATATATAAATGTGAAAAAAATATTTTATATTTAAATAAATTTAATATATATGTATATAAAAGTTCATATGATTTAATGTACATTAATAATGAATTTTTTATAGAAAAATTTTTTATAGAAAATATACGAATTTTTTATTGAATATAGATCTATATAATAAAATTCTATAAAATGTGTTAAAAAATTATATAAAAAATTCAATTCAAAAAATAAATACATTAAGAAATTATTTATTATAAATATTTTTATTAAATTTAAGGTTTTAATATTATGTCTATATTGCTTTACATAAATACACATACGCACACATATTAGCATTAGAAATTTTAAAAAATTATAAAAGAAAAACAAAGAAATAAAATCCAATTGAATTCATATCTGGGAACTTTTAGTAAGTTACACGTTACTGCATGAATTACAGAAATCTCTTAATTTCTGAAAAAAATAACTTATTTTTTTGACAAAATGTTATTTAATTTTACTCTAGTCTTCTATGTAAACTAAGTAGTCGAGGTTAACCATTTAACAATAGATAACTTACAATTTGCCTAGACTTTGACATTTCGCCGGTCTTGACGAAGCATCAGCTGTTCAATTCCTGTTTAACTTGCTTGCTTGTAACACAATGTTGCTAAAGTCCCTAGTAAGTGTAAGAAAATTGTTGAGTCAACATCTAGTATTCTAACCTCTGCATGATTTTGTAAATACGAATAAAATATTGCAAATATCGTGTTTATATTAATCATTTTCATTACTGAATTAGTTGTTTTTCTTCTTAAAATTTTTTAACATACGAGCAAAGACAACATATAAAATTTATAGTTCTATATCGATAAGATAATAGTTCAATTGCTTACCAATAAATTTCAATAGAATTTTTGCGACTATATACTATTTTTTTAACGTAACAGATAATAAATTAACAAGTATGCGACTTCAATATAGATTAGGTAAGTTTATGTATAAAAAAAATTAAATTATTACACGTTTTTCGATGTATATATATGCACCCTATTTTCCCCACTCGAAGGAACACGAGCAATGTCAGTTAATAACTTTTAATCCATACAAAGATACATTTGGCAACCAGATGTTGTAATCTTATTTTATTTTTTTTTTTATTTTTTTTTTTTATTTTTATAATTTCAACTTTAAAGTTTGAAAAAAACAAACGCGTTGTCTATACTTTTCGAGTCACCCCGTATTTATTTGCTGAGAAATGTCTTCTTGCGATACGAATTGTTTTATGTTATAGTATTGGCCCTCTTGTGTTTATTTTTCAACACTTTCACTTATTCGTATTTTGTTTGAATGTCAAAGAACAACATGCAATATAGGCGACATTGCGCAATACATAATCTTGTTCTTGCTATTTTATTTTAAATGGTTGAACTATAAGATAGGAATCGTAAAATAGTGACACAGGTTATTGAACTGATTGTAAATTGGTATCCGGTCATGGCCACGGTGATGGTGATTGCCAATTACCAGGTGATCGTCTTCGATAATAAATAAAATAGATATTATCATTTTATCTTCATTTTGATATTTAATACTTAATACATTTTAATACTTAATAAATAAATAATATCAAAAAGATAACTTTAATCATTAAAGATATATATTAATCATTATCATAAATCATAATATAAAAAATAAAAAAATAATATAATTATCGAATTACATATTAATTTATATATGTATATATATTTTTTTATCGATTCAATTTTTTTAATATTAATAATTATAATAGAATTATAATGATCTATAAACAATTATTTTTAAGCTTTGCAAAATAAAATATATTTTAATTTTTTATTATAAAAATAAAAGTCTATTAAAATAAAATTTTTATTTTAATTTAAAATTTTATTTTAATTAAATTATTAAAAATTACTAAAAATTATTAAAAATTAATTAAAACTCAAGAATTTTTTAATTTTATTAAAAAAAATATAATATTTAATATCAAATCTTGCAATAAAAATAATATTGTATAATATCAAATATATCATATACTATATATAATATCAATATATTAATTAATTAATCCGTCATAATAATATAATTATAACATTTTCTAAATGTACATATGTTAAAAAAATTTTTTAATATGTTATTTAAATTAGTTAAAGTACTTAGTATTTTAATTTTTAATACTTAAAATGCTTGATTTTCTATTTTTTATATAGAGAATTATTTTAAATATTAAAACTATTAAAATTAATTATAAAAAACTGAAAATTTTATATTTAAAATTTTGAATTTTACATTTTAAATAGAATAAAAAAAAATAAAAAAGTTATAAAAAAAACTATAAATATAGTGTACATAAAAAATATGTATGAAATATAA